GCTAATAAGCCCGAAACAGTTCTGTATCAAGTTATCCCCAAATGCTGTCATTACCCCCTTACTGCTATATATATATATATGACTATATGTGCTTCACCGATCTCGGGGATTCGAAGCCTTGGGATTGGGTATGACTGGCTGATGAAGGCTAACAAAGCAGAAATGGCCAGTCCGGTCTCCTTTTGCTTTGTTGGATCCATTTCATAAATAAATATAATACTGAGTATTGCGAGTGATAGCTTAAGTGTACAAACCTCGAAAACGACAGCTTCGCTGCCCTTGGAGTTGTTTCCTCGATAGACGATAAAAGCCTGCTTATACAGACTTTTACTAGCAACTGGAAGCAAATCGATGGCGTTTCCCTCCTAAAATAAAGATGAAAATGCCTTAGGTTGTTAAGCCAGCCTATAACAAGGTAGTAAAGTCAAACGAAATACATTTCATTAACATTTTATGACTTCTAAAAGAGAAAGACAGGTTGAATTCATCCTAAATAATTAGAAATTGAGAACGCTGAAACTGCCGGAGGAAGGCTGCTGATTGGAGGGAACGATCAACTGTTCGTCAGCAGGAGCTGATGTGAAAACACACACTCATTTTCGATCGATTCAACATTCGCGGAAGAGGATGTATAAGGCTGCAGTGAATAATCCCGCAGGTAGGCTCCTGAATATAAAATTAATAATCCAACGGTTCTGCCACCCGCATATGGCGTTTTCCACCAACACCTGGACGTACAGAGGCACGATCCTACGTTTGTAACGTCGCTCCATAAATATGGATTGTCCGACGACTGTTAATGGCTCGAACTCTGACAAAAGTGAAAAAGCGACTTCCAGAAAGCAGTCCAGAGGAAGAAGATGCAATCGCTAAAACATGGTATCTACTGGTTTGCCAGTTCGCGGTCTCGTTCGAACCTATCATCAGAGACAGTTGCAGCCAAGGTACAAGGGGAAACAGAGTGCGCAGAATGATGACCCCCACCCCCCAGCAATGGAAACGAAGACTACCAAATACAATAGGCGTGTACTGGCCTGGCAGCCACGTGCCATAAAACCTGCACGAGTATTACCCTTTTCTGCAACTTTCGCTTAGGATAGGTTCGAATGCCATTTAAGGGATCTTAAGGGTAAACATTGTCGCTTCTGGGGGAAAAGTATATGCGAGACAGGATGGCCTGCTGCTGAGTGTGTTTGTCACAATTCAAGAGAAGCAAATCATGGTTTTCATCAATACCCTAAGGGTCAGACTGCGTGGTCAGCCCAGTGTGTGTTTGTGTGGAGTGGCAGACCGAGAGTCAAGCTACAATAGCTCCTTCCTGATGCGGTCTTTATGACACTCCTAATCGCCTGGGATTCAAACCAGCTGTGGCGGCCCGTATAGGGGCGGCCCTGGCCGCTTCAGCCACCTGCGCCCTCTCCAACCTTATTCTTCGATAGAATAGATGTACTGGCTATTTCTTGCACAATCTTCGATCCGCTAAAATGCCCTCAAGTCCCCACATCTAGCCCGGTTCCAGTAGAAAAGTAGAATAAATCAGAATGGTCAATTTCCACTCACTGAACACATCATAACTAGATTCAGCGCACATTCAAATGATGACTGCTAACAATGACATCCGAAACAACAATCTTGCTTTTTATTAGGTTTCGCACTAGGGGCTGTGTAATAGAATAACTATGGTAGCAACCAACCTATATTTTCCATTCAGAAGTAAATACTCACGGCAGCCAATAATGGATACTTGGCAAGTAAATTCCCAACACTTCAACACCTCAAAATCTTGTAACCGAACGAGCCCGCTAGATAAGTAAAGTCTGTGGGAT